GCTATATGTATACATATTTATACATATATATATGTGTAGATATACACAGATCTATATACACAGACACCCTCCGACGAACTTTACATGTACCTTCAGGTCGGGAACCGTGTTTGAAGTCGCTGGCTCTCAGTGGTGATGTAGACATCGCCACCCTCCCCCGAGGCCCACGAGCAATCCAGTGGAAAGTGCCCGTGTCCTTCGTTTGTGGCGGCGCGGGCTGCGCCTTCGCCTTCTGGATCGCCTCGATCTCTTGCAGGCGCGCCTTCTGGCGAATGTCGAAGTTCTTCGTCGTGAAGTCGCACCTCAGCCACCGGGCAATCGGCTGGCGGGTCCTCCTCCTTCTCCTCCTCCTCCCTCCTCCTCCCTCCTCCTCCTCCTCCTTCTCCTCCTCCTGCTCCTCCTCCTCCTCCTCCTCCTCCTCATCCCCCTCTCCCTCCCCCTCCCCCTCCCCCTCCCCCTCCTCCCAGATCAATCTTCGGCGGCCCTGGGGGAGTGCTCACAAGATCGGCTGGGGAAGGGGAGAATGGAGGACCAACACCAAGAACATACTTCTGGAGGTCCGCGCGGATTGCTTGGATCGTCACTGGACCCTCCTCCCAGGCGCGCGGAACGCGCTCAAGGCGGCTCTGGAAGCCCTGCCGGGGGGTCCAGCGCCGATCCGAGAAATCCGCGATGAGCTTTGAAGCAGTATGCTTATGCAATTGTTTGTCCCTCGAGAAGATGACTAAATCAGCCACCTGCTGGTCGGAATGCGTGGAAGGTGGAAAGTCAAGGAAAGACGGCAAAGATTGGTGGCTCCACATAAATACTGACCTCCCCCCTGCTTCTGGAAGCGCTTTCTCGTGAGATGCCGCAGAGACTCCGACAGCGCTAACACGCAATGGCTGTTCGCCTGCACCTGCGGCGCGGAAAAAAAAACACGACGAGCACGACGCGGCGCAGAAGGAAAGAATTATGGAGGAACGTAAACTGCGATACTACCCACGAGGGGCGGACATGTCCGTGTCAGCGCCCTCGCGATCTGGATTCTGGGGTGCGATCTGGCGGATATAGATGGCAGAAAATCCACCCCGACAATAACCACCCCGACGCGCGAAACCGTTAGTACACGCACCCAAAGAAGGAATCAAACAGGGCAGGGCTGTGTCAGTAAACGTCCAGGGCCGTTTAGTAAACGCCAATTGTCCTGTCCGGGTGTTTTTTCCTCCCTTGAGGATACGCGGTCGCACGGGACGTTCGGGGCGGGGGCAGCCGCGAAGCATTAACAAACCCGATGGACTGCGGTGGGGTCGCGGCCCGGCGGCCCGGCCCGTGGGGCCCAGCGGATAATTACGACATGCTTTTCGCCTCTTCTCCTCCCCCTCCTCCTCCTCCCCCTCCTCCCCTCCTCCTCCTCCTCCTCCTCCTCCCCTCCTCCCTCCTCCTCCTCCTCCTCCTCCTCCTCCTCCTCCTCCTCTCCTCCCTCCCTCCCTCCCTCCCTCCCTCCCTCCCTCCCTCCCTTCCTCCCTCCTGTTCCTCCTCCTCCTCCTCCTCCTCCTCCTCTTCCTCCTCTTCCTCCTCTTCCTCCTCTTCCTCCTCCTCGAACTACGGGCGATGCCGGACAAGGTTGCAAACTCGCTGCACTGATGGACCTGCAACGTGCACAGCCAAATGCCTGGTATTATTGGACGAGCGCGTTCCGCTACTCGTTAAGTAACGACTCGCAGATGGCCTGGATCCCCCGCGGGGGATCTACGATAACTTACATCAGAACAGACATGTGCCTCTCGGACGTTTAAGAGTAGGCGCATTGCAAGTAGTGGAACGCGTTCGGTGAACTATGCGAAGCTCAGCATCCTAAGATGTGCCGGGAAACCACCTCGCGGCAGAGCGCGTACTGCTCACTGTAACCGTCAGAACAAAACGCGATTTCGTTCGGGATGGATTCCGGCACGCGCCCCCTTTCGTCCCCAAAGAAAGAACCACTACGAGGTCTCATGCGAAAACACATGCATGCGGAATCCGTGCCGGCAACTCGCTCTGACAATGTCAGCGGTTCGACCTGTCATTGGACTCCGCGGAGGTCTCGCCAACATGGGCGCGCGCAGTTTGCCAGAAGCTCACCTGCGTCTGTAAGATGTCCCAGCGGACCCCGCTGTATGAGCGGTTACAGATTTCGTTCTTCCTACCTTTAGGTCGGGCATGTCCTCCTACAGGCGGATGTTGGGTGAAAAACTGAAACATACTTAAAACATATCCCAACATAGCCAGAAATAAGAGAAACATCGTCCCCATACTATGTTTGAACTATTTTCGAATATCCCTTAGAAGGACATGCCCGATTTAATCCTGCCTCCCCGGGAAGCAACTTAGAACTGATGGGCAATACTTCGAATGCCACCAGCCCTGGAGGGCGTGACCCCGCCTTCCCCTTCGGGAAGGGAGCCTCCCCCTCCCCCTCCCCTACTCCCCCCTCGTGGACCTGGAGGGGAGGTTTCGCGGGTCGCTGGAACGTCGAAGATGGCCCCGGCGAGAAGGCAATTTCGACCAGGTTTTGGTCGCACTTTGGCCTCCTTGGGGGGAGGGGGGCCCCATGTACGTCGGTCCCACATTTGACCGTTCTACCACAAGATGGCCCTCGAGGCTCCCAAGGCTGCCTCACGACGGCCGCAAAGTGGCGCCCAGGAGGCCCGGCCCCCAAAAGCCCTAAGAGGCCTCGGAAAAAAAAGGCCAACATCATTGGCATTACGTTTGTTTATGCCACATGTTGGTCCCCTTTTTGGGGGAAAAGAAAATTTCAGATCCCAACCAAGCGCTTCAGATCCCAACTACACGGATCAGATCCCAACTGATGACGCTCCAGATCCAATCCCAGCTTATTTGAGCTTTGGGCGTTTGGTCGGCCTAGATACGCGCTTGACAAGCCCCTGATGGGCGCTTCCTTGATGGCGCCTCTTCGGCTTCATGCAGGATACCTGTGGGTTCCGCTTAGGCTTCCTCAAGATTCCTGGATATTGAACAAAGATTCCTGTAGAGTTCATCCGGATTCCTCCGGTATCCCGGAGGATTGCAAAACACCAATCGCACGATTCCTGAAGGATGTCTAAGGGACTTCTAAGGGAATCCCCCAGATGTCTCAAACTATTATTTCAGATGTCCTACGGGATTCCTGCCATGTTCTGGGAACTCTTCTGGGTTCTCGAGGGGTCCCTGCGGATTCCTACAGGATGCCTGAAGAGTTCCTCCAGATTATTGCGGGATTCCTGGGAGATTTCAGCGTTTCCTGCAGGAGTCCCACAACGAATTTTTACACCGATGTTCAAGGATTCCTGATGTATTTCTGAAGGGTTCCTGCAGATTTCCGAAGGTTCCCACGGATTTCCAGAAGATTATTTGTGGATTCCTGCGGGATCCCCGTCGGATTCTGATGGCACCTCCCGAATTGCTCGGGAATTCCTGAGATGCCTGAAGGATTTTAGGAAGATCCTACAAGGATTCCTGAGGGATTCCCGAAGGAAATCCTGAGGACTCCTGAAGATTTGAAAATCCTTCAAAAGCTGACGGACTATAAATGATTTGGGCCACTTCGGGCATTCCTAGAGAACCTCGTGGAGGCCCCTACAACGGCCCAAGAGGCCTCCCAGCGGTTCCCTAGGATGGCCCGAAGAGGCCAACAACACTGATGTCCCTATGGTGTTTGAAAGAGTTGGACATTTGCTTCAACACTGCCTTCCGACAGCCAAAGGCCCAAGATGCCCCCAACATTGCCCAAATATCGTCCAACATGCCAGTAGATCAGGGTGCGTACACGGCACAAGGCGACGTCAAAGACGGCCAAGATGGCCTCCACGACGCCCCTGAGACGGCAGCGGTTGGTCCCGAGACGTTCTCCACACGGCCAGGAGATCCCTCAGGCGCCCGAGGAGGTCTGCAAGCCAAGAGGCCAAGATCTCTGATGTTCCTATCCTGTCTCAACGGTCTTAGCGTTCTCGCCTTGTCGGGCTTGCGTCGCTCCAAGACGGGCACATGATCCCCATGGATTGCTCCAAGACGCCCCCAAGAGGCGCGCAGTGCTGCCGAAGAGGGCCCCAGAACAACTAAAACAACTCCATGGCGGCCCCCGAGAACTCCACGACGGATCTACAGCATCCAAAGAGGGACCCACAACTGCCAATGGAGGGCCCAACGCGGCCTCGGAAGGCCAAAAGGCCCCTCTGACGCCCAAAGAGGGCTCCAAGAGGACCTCTGGGAGGCAAACATCGCTGTGTCCCAGGTGTCTCTATGCGCGCAGCGTTTTCACATGTTCGGGCTTCTGGCGCCCCGAGGCTCAAGGCCCCCAAGTCGCCCCAAAACGGCCTAAGAAGTCCCCGAAAGGCCCACAAGACGGTCCATAAGGGTTCCGAAACGGCCCAAGAGGCCCCCAAGACGGCCCCGAAGACAGCCCCAGAGACCTCCAAGATAGGCCTACCAACACGGCGACCCAAAGCCAAAACGCCCCATTGACGCCCCCAGAGGCCCCTAAGAGATCCCCAAGAGGTCCGCAAGAGAACCCCCATGGCTGCCCCAGGCCAGCCCAGGATTCTCATGGCGACGCCACTGCGCGGCCAGAGCGGCCCGAGAGGCCTCCAAGATTGCTCGAAGAGGTTTCGAAAAGAGTATCAGGGACCCGGGACGGCCCAATATGGCCCCAGGATGTCCCAGGATGGCCCCGCCGCGATAGGCGTGGCACTTGGGCACCCCAAGGGGGAACCGCCAGGCGCGTTCGCATGTCAGTCTCCGCGCACAGTGGGCTGGGATGTCTCAGGCGGTTTGCTCGTTTCGGTCCCCAATGCATGTCTCTTCTGAGAGCCCCATGCTCACCGCTAGCCGTCTCCACCCCATCCACCTCAAATGCACTGCAGTAATCTGCTTTTCGAATCGGGAATTATGAGATAGAGCGAAGTGGGAATATACATAACAAGTTGTTACAGCTCTGAGAATACTCGCAACCAGCGCAATCCACGCAAAAGAGCGGCGTCGGCCTGGTCTTCGGGCCGCGCGCGCGCGAGGTGTGCCGCAGCACCCTCGATGCAGACGCGGGCCGCCACGCTGCTAACCAACCTGCCCTTCGCGGGCGTGGCCCCCGTAGAAGACGACCGCAGGGGGAAGTCCGAGGCGCCTCCTCGCCGGGCGGAGTGCCGCGAAAAGCGCCCGGGAAGGCCCGGGCCGCGCGTGGGGGCCGCCAGCGCGCCCCTGAGCTGGACGGGCGACCTCCGCGAAAGAGCTTCGCCTGAGGGCCGCCGCTGCGCGACTAGCCTGAGCATCGCCTTGGCCGCCGCTGACCGGATGACGACGGCCTCTGCGGCGTCCTTGCCCGCCGTGGTCTTGAACGTCCTGATCCGCAGCGCGATGGAGTCGCCGCGGTCGAGGACGTCGTCCGCCGTCAGCGCAGGGGCCTCGCCACCGCGCAGCAGGCCATCGAAGCTGATGAGCAGCAGGCAACCCACGTCGAACGCTCCGGCCTGCGCCGCCAGGCTCGCCGTGGCCGCGGCGATATCGGGCGCGAGCGGCAGCGCCCGCTCTGCAGGCTCCGCTCGACGCTGAACCTTCAGCAGCGCCCGCGACAGATCCAGCATCCGCCGCAGCTTGGGCAGCAGGAAGCACGCGCCCGCGACGGTGTTGCTCGCCGGCGCGACCTCCGCCCCTGCCTGCCAAATCGCCCCCAACAAATAGCCAGCGATCAGGCTGCCAGCGTCCTCCGCCTCGTCGCCCAGGGCGCGCGCCTGCTGAGGGCCCACCCCGTAGTGCCTCAGCAGGTCCTGCGCCGCGCGAGTGCACCTCGCCCGCGTCGCATACCCCACGCGCAGCGAGGTGAAGGTCTGCTGGCCCGCGGCCCGGCGATGCGGCCGCGGGCCCGCGCGGGAGCGCGGGGGGCCGAGCCTCGCCGCGCTTCCTGAGCCGTGAGCCACGCCACAGCTTGCGCGACGGCTCGTTTGCCGGGTTGTCCTCCGAGGCCACGTGGCCGATCAGCGGGCGCATGTCCGCCGCGATCGCCGCGGCCATCCAGCGCCTCAGCGCCGGCTGCAAACGGCGGCTGCTGCTGCGACCCTTGGTCACGATGGCCGCCGCGACTTGATTGTCGACGAAGTGGGGCCGCCGCGCGCAGCGCCGGGCTGACTTCCGCGCTCGCCAGCCACGCCGTACTCGGCACGACGCGCCACCGCCGCGCGAAGGGGCCCAGGCTCGAGCGAGGCCAGCCTCTTGGACGGCACGGCAGGCCGCAATCCAGCAGCGCGTCCGAGCCCCCCTTCTCCGCGCGGCCCAGGTGATGGAGGACGAGGCGCCCGGCTTCCTGGCGTTCGGGCCCCCCGAGCTGTCCTAGAAGCGGCGCTGGCCAATGTGCCGGGCCCCGGGCACGTGCAGGGGGCGCGCCAAAGCGGGCTCCGCCAAGAGGGCGCGCTGCAGAGCCCGCGCAACCGCATAGGCGCTGAAGCTGCTCCCGAGCAGGAAGGCCCCGGCGTTCGAGGCGGCCCGCGGGTTCGAGCCCTTCGTGGCTACAGCGGTGTAACCCACATCGAACCCGAGTAACCGTTCTCTTTCCGTGCAGCTTGGCAGCCTCCCTGGCGGCCTCGCAGAACAATCCTGGACGAGATTTTCCTCCTCGTACAGCGCAACGTGATAGCGGGGCGAATCGGCCTGCCAGCGCGCTCGCGCCTCGCCTGATGCCGAGGCCAGGCCGCGCGGCGCCGACGGGAAGCTTGGGGGCGGCCTGCAGCGCGCCAGCGTTGGGAAGGGGAGCGGGCGCCCGCCCCAGCGAAACCCCTGGTCCTCCCTCTCGATGTCCAGCAGCGGCCCGTTGTCTGCCATGACCTCGAGGTAGCAGCCCTCGTCGACATGGCGCAGCGGCGGCGCCACCTGGACCTGCCAGCAAAGCCAGAAGAGCCGCGGCCTGCGACGCGGCACCATGACCGACGAGCAGAGCTGGACATGGCCTTGAGGTTTTCGTCCGTCATGCTCGCCACGTTCTCGAGCAGCGAGTAGAACCGCCGCTCGAACGCCTGCTGCGAGAGCCGGAAGATCCTGGGCACCTCGTAGAACAAGGAGCTCTTGCGGCCATGCAGGCCTCCACCGCTCGCGTTGAGCCGCGAGAGGTCCTGGCACGGGCTGCCCGCGCCAGCGACGCACGCGGCCACCGTCTCCGAGAACATGTCAAAAAAGGTCCTGCACCATATTCTCGTCCACCCGCGTCACGTCGCCTCAGTCGATCGCGCCTGGCCAGCGCAGCCGGACAACTCGCCTGGCCTTCGCGTCGGTTTCGGCGGTGACATGGGCGACGGTCCAGACGGGCAACCTCGAGAGCGACACCGCGAGGCCGCCGATGCCGTCAACGAACCCTACGACTAGGACATTGGGCACCTTCAAAACGACTGACCTCGGGATCCTCGGGTTAGACACGGTCCAGGGGCACCGCGGGTCCCCAGGCATGTTGAGCAGCCGGGCGCCCGCGCCGAGGTGATCAGCGACCTGGCCCATGGACTTGAGCGCCGATGCCGCCTCCCCGCGGAGGCTCGTGGACGCGCAGACGCCGCCCCCGAACTCCGAGGCGTCCGAGACCGTGACCACCCCCTCGATGCGGGCGCGGGGAGAAGTGGCCGCTGTAGGCAGCAGCGTGAGGCCCAAGAGCTTCACAAACCGCAGCCCCCCAGGGATGTCATCTGAGTCTGCGTGGGGCGTCGCTCCGCTGGCCACCCCAGCAGCCCTTGAAAGTGGCGACAATTGCACAGATCGCAGCCCGAAGTGAGGAGGGAAGAGAGGAGGAGGCGGGCGGAGGAAGAAGACGCGACCGCAGTGCTCTATTCATAGCGAGTACCCAACGCAGGAGGGTTGGGAAAAAAACAAATTATATATTCCCCAAGAGTTTTTGAAGGATTGTGGCGTTTGCTGCTGTTTTTCTGCCTTCCGACGGCCCGAATGCCCCCAAAGATCAGCCAAGAGGCCCAATACGGCCCCAAGAGGCTCCCACGACGGCCCAAGAGGCCTCCACGACGCGCAAGATGGCCTCAAAGACGGCCTAAAAACCCTCCAAGACGTCCTCCAAGCAGGCCCGAAAAGGTCAAAACGGCCTCCAGACGGCCAAGGTGACAAGATGCCCACGTGTTCCCCGATGGCATTCCAAACCGATTCGGGTAACACATGGTCCGATAGTTTGGCAAGTTCGGCCTCAACGTTCGGCCACATAGGCGCTTTCACAAAGTCAGGGGGCGGTCTTCGATCCGCCGCCCCCTGTCGATTCATCGCAGGGGTGCCTGGCGTGCTGAATCCTCTCGGATTTGGTTTTGGCTCTTTCTCCAAAAGAGGGCCGCGTAAACCACCTCAGCGTCCACAAAAAATCCGCCAAGACGGTTCAAGATGGCCACGCTGGCCCAAGATGGCCTCCAAGATGGACACCAAGTTCGCCCAATATGGTCCAAGACGGCCTCCAAGACGGCCCAAGAGAATCCAAGATACCTCCAACTTCGCCCAATAAGCCTCCAAGCCGGCCCAACACGACCCAAAAGGCCTCTAAGAGGTCTTACAGGAGGACCCGAGGAGTCCAACATGATTGATTTTCCCAAGGTTGAAGGATTTTGGCATTTGCCTCTTTTCGGCAGTCCGACTGCTCAAGACGGCCCAAGAGGCCGCCAAGATCGTCCACGAGGCCTCCAAGAGGGCCCCATGACGGCCCAAGAGGCCTCCAAGACGGCCCCAAGATGGCACAAAGACTGCCCAAGAGACCTCCAAGACGCCCAAGATGGCCTCCAAGACGGCCCCGAAGCGCCTCAAGAGGACCTCAAGTCGGTTCAGAGAGGCCCCCAAGACGGCTCCCGACGGCGTACCAAGATGGCCGAAGTTGGCTCGAAACTGGCCCAAGACGGCCTCCAAGAGGGCCCCCAGAAGGCCAGAAAAAAAGCCCAAAACACTGATGTTCCATAGGTTTTTGAAGGATTTTGACGCTTGCTTCTTTTCGGCCTTCCGACGGACCGAGACGGCTCAAGAGCCCCCAAATATCGCCCAAAGATCGCCCACGAGGCCTCCAAGATGGACCCACAACGGCCCAAGAGGCCCCCAAGACGGCCCCGAGGGGCCCCCAAGACGGCCCAGGAGGCTTTTAAGACGCCCAAGATGGCCTCCAGGACGGCCCTGGAGCATTCCAAGAGGGCCCCAAGTCGGCTCAGAAAGGCCACCCAAACGGCTTCCGACGGCGTCGGACGGGCCAGGGGCCCACCAAGACGGCCGAAGATGGCACTAAAATGGCCCAAGACGGCCCAAGAGGCCTCCAAGAGGGCCTCCAGGAAAGCCGAAAAAGGCCCAAGTCATTGATTTCCCATGAGTTTTTGAAGGATTGTGGCATTTGCTGTTGTTTGGCCTTCCGACGACCCGAGACGGCCCAAGTGCCCCCAAAGATCGCCCAAGAAACCCAAGACGGCCCAAGAGGCCCCCAAGACGACCCAAGAGGCCTCCAAGACGCTCAAGATGGTCTCCAAGACGGCCCAAGAGCCCCCCAAGACGTCCTCAAAGAAGGCCCGAAAGGGTCAAAATGGCCTCCAGGCGGCCAAGATGACCTTCAAGATGCCCAGGTATTCCCCGAAGGCTTTCCAAACCGATTCGGGGAATATCAGGTCCGATATTTTGGCAGGTCTGGCCTCAACGTTCGGCCACATAGGCGCTTCCAAAAAGGCACTGGGGAGAATATGTGCCCACGAGTCTGGCCACCAAAACAAGCACACCGATCGAGACATCCTCAACATCTCCCCCCCCCCCTTGGGGGGCACAAGTGAGCGTCTCGCTCGAGACATCCTCCAAATCTGCTCAGAAATCTGAGGAAGTCGGGCATGCAAGCAAACAAACCGCTCGAACCATCCCCGCCATTTTGGCGCGAACGGAGGCCGTGAGATACCCCTGGCGCCCCCCCCTTGGGGGTGCTGATACCCGCGCATCGCTCAAGACATCCTCAGAATTTGCTCCGCCATCATCATCATCATCATCATCATCATCATCATCATCATCATCATCATCATCATCATCATCATCATCATCGTCGTCGTCGTCGTCGTCGTCGTCGTCGTCGTCGTCGTCGTCGTCGTCGTCGTCGTCGTCGTCGTCGTCGTCGTCGTCAACGTCATCGTCATCGTCATCGTCATCGTCATCGTCATCGTCATCGTCGTCGTCGTCATCATCATCATCATCATCATCATCATCATCATCATCAGCATCAGCATCAGCATCAGCATCAGCATCAGCATCAGCATCAGCATCAGCATCAGCATCATCATCATCATCATCATCATCATCATCATCATCATCATCATCATCATCATCATCATCATCATCATCATAGGTGGGCCGTCCTGAGGCCTTCTTGGGGGCCGCTGGGCCCATCCTGAGGCGGTGTCGGAGGCCTTGTGGGCCATCGTGGAATGTCAGGATACCGAGAAAGAGAGGACACCGAAAGCATGGTAAAACCCTAGCGCCAGCATTGTTTTTTGCTTCTCGGGGCGCTGATCTGGGGCCTCGGGCGCCATCTGGAGCCGGGAGGCGAACAATTTGAAATTTTGCTCCATGACCCTCCTTCTGAAAGCCATTGTGTGGCCGTCTCGGGAGCCTCGTGGGCCCTCTTGGGCGCCCCTGGGGGGCGTCATGGAGCCCTGCTAGCCCGTCCCAGAGCCTCACTGGGGGCCGTTGGGCCCGTCCTGAGGCGGGGTCGGAAGCCTCGTGGGCCGTCGTGGAGTGAGAATGTCGACAAAGAGATGGCACCGCAAACATTGTGAAACCCTAGCGAAAACAATGATTTTTGCTTCTCAGGGCACTCGGCTGGGGCCTGGAACGCCCACTGAAGCTTGCACGGGGCCGTCTTGGCGCAGCCTGGAAGCCTTCGGAGGCCGTTCGGAAAGCATCTTCGGCACTCTCGGGCCATGCTAGACCCAATGCTGATTTAGACATGTAGATGACGGTGACGACATTGGCAATGATTGCGATGACGGGTGGTGGTTTCTTCGTAGCAACAATGCTCTCCTGCCGACCGCTTCAACGTTGCTCATGCCAATGTAGGGTGAAACCCGGCCGCGTGCCCGTGACAGCGGCGCACGGGAGACCCTGCACTTCGCGCGATGAAGCGCCGCGCAAGCGGCAGCGCCCTGCAAGCCCCGCCACAGAAAAATCATGGTTTTCTTTTGATCGGCCGCCACACGAAGAAGGTAGGGCCACCACATAAAGAATCGTGGTGTGGAGGCCTAACAAAGTTCGGCTACAGAGCGGAAGCCCACGAACACTATGAACAAGTATCCTGGCGAAGAGCCCAACCATATGCAGCTGCGAGTACCGCCGTTGTGGGTATAGCCGTTGTGGGTATATACAACATATTATTTTCGTGCGGCGCTGTGAAATAAATCGAGACCTGGTTTGAATGTTGCTCGCTTTTGCCTTCAGGTGGATGCATTCACTCATCGTCTGTCGACTCACGTGCCTATCACCTCACATGCGACCTGTAGCGCCGGGGAATTCGTAGAGCCTCACGCCTCTACAACTGATCGCACAGTCGAGTGCAGGGAGATTCGGTTCCAATCTTGGCTGCTGAGCTGCTCAAATCTCGAGTGAACCTTCTAGTGGCAAGTCCCAGATAGGCCACCGAGCTCGGTGCTCTCGAAACTCTAGAAGTATGCTCAGCAACACTATAGATTGAATCGTGGAACGGCAACTCCCCGCCTGCGCGCAGGCAAACTGCTCCGCCCCACCTGCAATTCACAGGGGGGGGAGGCACCGAGCAGAATGCGCTGGGTCTGGTTATGAGCGACAGGGCCAGACGGAGCAGAGTGATGAGACGTGTCCTGGGGACACAAACTGCGGTGGACTGCGTCGCGGCGCCAGACATCCACGTAACTCCAACTCTAACTCTGACTCCTACACAGAGAGCAGAGAACCCCACTATCCCAGCAAAGCAACCGAACAGCCATGTGTATGAGCATACATGGAAGCATTCTTCTTTAGATTCATGTTCGGATTTTACTGGAAGCGAAACGCTGCGATCAATAGTGGACGTGTCTGCAAAGGAGGCACTCATTTCAACGAGACAGCACGTTCTTTTCGTGGCGAAGGGCATTGGAATGTCGGAGACACGTTCTGGACCAAAGACGGCTATCAGAAGCAGAGGGGAAATTGGATTGTATTAAGAGTGCTGGAGGCTTCGAACGCCTCAATAATAGCGCTAAGAACACAAGGGCGGCAAGCAAAAGGTAGCCCGGCAATGGAGGCCTGGGAACTCGATGAACACGAAGTTTCCTACAGTTGGCTCCGGGCATTCAAAATGTATCCCGGGAGTGGAGTTATGGGAACTATGTGGCCCGGGAATGGAGTTCTGGGAACTCGACGAACACGAAGTGGCCTACAGGTGGATCTGGGCATTAAGAATGTGGCACTACTACTACTACTACTACTACTACTACTACTACTACTACTACTACTACTACTACTACTACTACTACTACTCCTGCTACTACTACTACTACTACTATACTACTACTACTACTACTACTACTACTACTACTACTACTACTACTACTACTGCTACTACACTACTACTATTACTACTA